GTTGGTACCATTGGGAGGAGGCAAAATCTTTAGGAGGTGAGATCTAGGTAGAAGAAGAAAGTCATTAGAGTCATGTCTGTTCTGGGGACCTTGGTCCTTTCCTCTCTTTGTTTCCTGGTCACCACGAAGTGGGCAGTTCCCCTTACCATGCGTTGTTCCTGCTGTCACAGACTCTGTAACTACAGAGCTAAGCAACCATAGACAGAAACTGTGAACCTACGTGGACCTTCTTGTTCTTTTTTTTTTTTTAAAGATTTATTTATTAATTTCATGTATGTGGGTACACTGTTGCTGTCTTCAGACACACCAGAAGAGGGCATTGGATCTCTATTACAGATGGTTGTGAGCCACCATGTGGCTGCTGAAAATTGAACTCAGGACCTTCTGGAAGAGCAGTCAGTGCTCTTAACCATGAGCTACCTCTCCAGCCCCCTTCTTGTTCTTTAAATTCTTTGTTTCAGGTAATTTGTAACAGTGATGGAAAGCTAGCATGGGGTTTGGGGGGGGGCTTTTTCTCCACTCTCCCTTTTCATCAGATTTCACAAAGGAAGGAAGTTTTAACTTGCATGAGCATAGATCTGGAAACGTTGGAAGAACAAGAAACCAGATGCCTCAGTTGCGCCATTTTAAAATTTTTGTTTATAAAATTATTTATGTATGACACTATAAACAATCTCAAATATTCCCAAATAAACAGAAACTTTACATGAAGACAAATAAATATTTTCATGTTGATGATTATGAGAAAAATCAAAACTAAAAGTTTTCACTCTATTTTCTATATTATTTGTTTTAAATACAATTTTTCTGTAAAAAATAATGATCTAATCTTAAATATTAGTTAGATCTGGCATCTGGCACTTCAGTGTAGATACTGTACATATACATATACATATACATATACATATACATATACATATACATATATATATATATATATGGTTTTGGGTGCAGAGACCTGTAGAGACCAGGGCATGTTGGCTGTCTTGCTTTATCATCCTTAGTTAACCTGAAACTTTCAGTTTGGACTAGGCCATCTGGGCAGTGAGTTCATAGATTCACTGTCTCTGTGCTGAAGTGCTGGGGTGACAGTCACATGTAGCTATGCCCAGCTTTTTTGTGTGGGGCTCGGGTCTCAGACGCAGGTCCTTCTGCTTACACAGTAAGCACATTCACTACTGAGCTATCCATCTATTGCCCTAGCTCTGAGTTCTAAAGGGAAGATTTCCCAACAAGTTTGTACTATAACCGAATCAGCTGTAACACTGTTGAGTTAATCTAGAGTATTTTTTCTCATGATAAAGGTGAACATCTCAGCTCACTCAGTGTGAACTTTCTCTTTATAGTCCATTAAAAACCACAACTGTAGAGGCAAGCTTAGTTTCATGTGTATGAAGATGTAGCTCTCAGGGTTAACACCTCAGTTTCTCTGGATTCCATGAGCATATGGCGGCCAGCCCTGAGCCATGTTATTTTCCCAGAAGATTTCAAAGAATTATTGTTTGAAAAGGAGAAGTTTGAGCTAATGAAAACCAGGATAACCTCTGTCAGTCTTATGGAAAAGAATAGAAACAAATTACTGCTGGCTTGTTCAACATTGTTGCTGGGGCTTTTGCTAACCAAAGCAGTGGGCTTTGTTTTCTTGATTCCAAAAGGGGAGATTACTTCAGTGACATCTGGGAGAAGTGAGACAGTCAAGTCATGCCAAGTGCTCCTCTGGGCTCTTGTTCTCTCTCTCTCTCTCTCTCTCTCTCTCTCTCTCTCTCTCTCTCTCTCTCTCTCTTTCTCTCTCTCTCTCTGTGTGTGTGTGTGTGTGTGTGTGTGTGTGTGTGTGTGTGTGTAGGCCAGAGGTATTGGATTGCCTGAAAAAGCAGTCATAGATGGTTGTAAGCTGCCCCACATGGGTGGATGGGAACTGAACTCTGGCCCTCTGCAAGAGTAATAGTACACACTCTTAACTGTCAATCATTTCTCCAGTCCCATCCACTTTCTTTCTTAGGCTCAGCTCTTTGTGGGGATCATAGGAACTTGACATCTGAAGACTCTGGGTTTGAATTCCTCCTAAAGTAGTTTGAATGAGATGTCCTTCACACCTTCAGACATTTGAACATTCACCCCTAGTTGGTGGCATTGTTTGGTTATGATTAGGAGTTGTGGCCCTACAGGAGTAAGTAGGGTATTGGCTTTGAGGTGTCAAAAGCTGTGAGCCATTCCCATCTCACTCTCCCAGCCTCTTGCTTTGGGTTTAAGATGTGAGTTCTTCATGCCTGGGGCCATGCTTCACTGTCATATGGTGATAGACTCATAGACTCAGATTTGTCTGAAACTGTAAGCCCAAAACTCATTTATAAATTGTCATGTGTGTTTCAGCACAACAATAGAAGACAGCAACATGTCCGATTCCCACCCATACTCAGGGAGTCTCTGGGGATCTGGCTTCAATTTCTGTGACATTTAAGCAGGTATCAATATAATGGTGGAGAGTTAGATTATGGGAAGGCCTATAATGTGCCTGGTACATAGTAGACACTGAAAATTCTATTCTGATCAGTTCAGCTCCTCAGTCTCAGGCAGCTACTCAAATACACTGATTTCTTTTGGTTGTTGTTGTTGCTGTTGTTGGGGAGGGTGTTGGGGATGGAACCCAGGGCTAAGCACATAACCAATCACTGAGCTACACTACTAACCCAAAAATCTCACCATTTTAATAAGTAGATTTTCACAAGTGGTGGCCAGATGATTCATACAGATTTTGTATAAGAAGTAAAAAAAAAAAAAAAAAAACCCAATCAGGTATCTATTAGCTATATAACAAGTGATGTCCACATTGACAGCTCCAAATAAAGATTTTATTAAGCCCTCGGAGTCTGGAATGAAAAATGAGCTCTACGTGATCCATTACTTTATTGAGAAGAATTTAAGAGGTAGGGCTCACCAGTTCACCAACTGGAGCTTAAAAGTTACCTAGAGAAGTCTTACCTTGGCTTCCTAGCTGTCAGGACTTCCCATTAAAAGCACATAAACATGGTGTCTGCTTATGACCTGGAGTCCTCACCTCAGGTAGCGTCATGCTTTTACACACAGCAAACATAGACATGAAGGGACGTTTCCCAAGAAAACAAACACCCCCCCCCCCCACATACACACACAAATGTCCAAACCTTGAAAGAAGTTAAATAATGTCACTCATGGTCCTCAATCCCTACTGAGTTCCAGGGGAGGGAACATAGACCATATTTCCTGTTGGGAATGCCCGAGTCATGTGAAACATGAGGACTGGGAGTGATTGATCTGACATCTTTAGAACATATAATCTTTCCCAGAAATGAGTCAAAAGTCCTTAAAATAGGTTGGGCATGATGGTGCATGCCTTTAGTCCCAGCCCTCTGGATGCAAAGGCAGGGGGATCTCTGTGAGTTGGATGCCAGCTTGGTCTACATAGTGAATTCTAGAAAAGCCAGGGCTATGTAGAGAGAGACCCCATCTCAAAAAAAGAATAAACCCCAAAGCAAAACAAAACAGGATGAAATGAAAGTCCTCAAATGATTTGACTGGATCTGGCAGTAGTGTGGTAATTTGACAAAAAGACGATCAGACCAAGGCAGAGCTAGGGAGAGCATGGAGAGGAGGTAGAGGAGTAGACCTCACATCTCACACAGGCAATGGCCAGCGAGGAGGAAAGGGAGAAAGGAGAATCGAATGGCTCTGAGGTTTTGCCCTTGAGTGCCAGAAGGGTGGGGCTGCCATGGTCTGAAACAGGGAAGTCACAAGGAAAAGCAAAATCCCTGTTCCCTCTTTATCAACCACACACTGACCCCCTTCCAGCAACTTACGCAATATGGCCTCAATCTATTTTGCGTGTATGCATCTTTTGGTTTCACAAATCCGTATGGTGGCTCAGGTCCTGAGCCCCCAAGGAAGTCCCTAAAGGGCTGAGGTGATGACTCCCTTAGACATGACATCAGTGGTTGTGGGTAGACATGAAGCCATGAGTCTCACTTGGAGTAAAAAAAAACAAAAAAAAAAAACCATGTTAATGGCAAGTTTTCCCAGATTGCAGAAGGGAAAGGGTGGACAGGTGACGTAACACCATCATGAGAACACGTGATCCAAATATTTTCTGGAGGATGATCTTGGATTCCTTTTCTGTGCTTGCAGGTGAGGTCCCCAGGTCTCCATCCTTGACTTTATCTTTTCTGCCTTAGTGTGCTGTCCAGGGCGGACACAGCTTCCTTACACAGTTTCACTCTCACCCTCCAGAGTTTCTTTCATTGTAACCTCCAGAGGTTGCAGTGTAGTTAGGAGGCCGTTCAGTGTTACCCTCTACTTAGTGGGATCCTTGGAGGGACGCTAGCACGCACTCCTATGAAACGGTCATTTCATTAATGTTTTAGAAACTATCTTTTGGGATGTGGCTTACCTAGCAGAGTGCTTTGCCTGGATTGTACCTGCCTGTGCTAGCAGGTACAACATCCTGGACTGGACTGGATCCCCAGCGCCGCACACACGGAACATGCTAGTGCATGCTTGCAATATTGGCACTGCAGAGGCGGAAGTGGGGGGGGGGTCAGAAGTTCATGTTCAGCCTCATAGTCAGCCTAGGTTACCTGAGATCCTGCCTCGTGTTCCCTGTCCCTTACCCATGGAATTTCTATTCCCATTGGAATAGATTCCTCCTGTGCACAGCCAAACTGAACCCAGGAGATTTGCGTTTGTTACTCCTCAAGAAAGGCCATCTTTTTTTCTTCTGGTGACCTTACCTGAGGACCAAAGTTGAGGATCAAACCCAAGGCCTCATGCTTCTAGGCAAGTACTCTATACCACTGAGATAAATCTTCAACCCTCTTCTGGTGATTTTTTTAAAATTATTTTAATTTAGAAATAGAAAACCTCATAGGAAGGAGGAAAGAAACGAAAAAACACAAAGCATCCAGACAAGGTTTTACTTCATCAGCTTGTCACCCCCTCATTGGTTCACTCGTCCCATGATGACAAAAGACTCAGCCACCAATAATGTTATTAATAGGGATAGGGTTCAGTTTTACAAAGAAGCCAATGAATCCCATGATAGCAGATCCTATCGCTGTGGCCATGGCGATCTTCTGGAATTCTTCTCTGCCGGGTTTGGTATATTCTTTAACCATCTGAATCGAGTCCTTTTCAAACTGCCGACTTGGCTGAGCAAACTGCATGACCTGGTCCATGTTTGTGGGATGGCAGTTTGAGAGGATCTTCTGGTGATCTTAAAATTAAGTTCACAACCACATAATCAAGTATAGTGCTCCTAACCTGGGCTCCTCGGCTGATGTTGCCAATGGAATCCCAAGTCCTGAAGTACGAAGTTGCTTGGGTTTCAACCCTCTCTTTGTTACTTATTTGTAAATATTGGGGGAAGTATCTAACTTAGGTCTTCTCGATGATAAAATAGGGTCAGTGATGGAATCCTTGGGTTTACCAGTGGGACTATAAATGAACTGCAAAGAGAGGCAGTGACATCTTCCTGACCACTGAAACACTTCACTCTGTGCTCAGAACCTGCAGGACCTCTCAGTGATCGATTCTATTTGGTGTTTACTTCTACCTGTCTCTTGGTAAGCAGGCACATTCTTGTCACATAGGAGAAATACAAGTTGACATTATTTCAGTCTTGAGAACTTTATGGCATCTTTCTCTTAAGCTTGCTGGAGAATCCCAAGGGTGTAGAGGAAACTGGAATCAGGAAATGATGTAGAGTTCAGTGTTCAGATCTGGGCTTTGACAATGTTAGTAAGAATGGATTGCTGTGCTCTGCTAGTTCTTCTCAGGTCCATGGCTCCTACTGGAACAAGACTTGCCCTGTGCACAGCCGTGCTGGACTCGGGAGACTTGCCCTATGCACAGCCGTGCTGGACTCGGGAGACTTGCCCTGTGCAAAGCAGTCCCGGACTCGGGAGAGTTGGTTCTTCAGAAAAGGCACTTTACTCCCTTTGGCATTCTTAGTGCTAAGCACGTGCTCACACAGGTACATATTGGATTCCCAGCTTGGGCTTATCTTTCCTTTATTTCTTGGTCACAGTTCTTGAGACCCTCATCTATGGCAGGTAGGGGGAACCTATATCCAAGGGAAGATTAAAATGCTGGTTTTATGATTTCTGCCTTTGCCTATGTGTATTTGCTTGGGCGCCCTAGGAAGCAGTATCCACAGTGCCCACCCCTACCCCTGTCCACTTTAGTCTTGCCCTGGGCAATTCCCTAAAGACTTGAAAGGCAAAGAATCTGCTCTCTGGATCTGAGTCTCCAGCTCTTTTCTAGAGCCAGAACCCAAGCACCAGGCTCATGAACACACAGGATTGTCTGAGCACCCATCTCAGGAGCCCTGTAGCTTTTTGAGTGATGTCATCTTGAGGGCACAGTCATGTGGACTGTGGAGATCTAGGCTCCAAATGCTTGTTCACGTTTCTTCACTGATGTTATTTCTAGAGCATATTCTGGGCCTTTCTTCTTCACTGAGTTATCCAAGTGGAGCTTCTCCTTCCAGGCAATCTAACTTGCAGACTACAGGCTGCATGTAGCCAAAGACAGTTTCTATTGGAGCTCAACACAGAGTTAGAGTTTTACTGCTGTAAACAGACGTCATGACCAAGGCAAATCTTAGAAGGACAACATTTAATTGGGGCTGGCTTACAGGTTCAATCCATTATCATCAAGGTGTGATCATGGCAGTGCCCAGGCAGACATGGTGCTGGAAGACCTGAGAGTTTCACCACTTCTTGTTCCAAAGGTAGCTAGGAGAAGACCAGCTTGCAGGTAGTTAGGATGAGGGCCTTGAAGCCCACACCCACAGTGACACACTTACTCCAATAAGGCCGTACCTCCTGATAGTGTCATCCCCTGGACCAAGCATATACAAACAATAACACATATGTTTACTTAAAACATTGGAAGTTTTTTCAGTAACAAAATTGTATGAATCTTGAGCAAAGACTTTTTGATAACAATGTCATGAAATAGATTTGACATTGCCTATTGAACATTTTACACAGCTGCTTCTTCTATCTGTTTAATAAGGTGAGTCCATAATACTAATGCTCCAAAGTTATTTTTTATGCTCTGCCTGGGCCAAGGCAAGTTCTTATTTGATCTAGCCTGAATCCTTTCAGGTGTGCAGGCTCAGGTTCCTATAGGGATTGCCTGATTGTCTGTATCTGTCCAGTCCCTTCCAAGGTGGCAAGTTCCAATCGTGAGCTTTGTAAAAGATCAGGAAGCAATCTGAAACTTGCATCTCATGATGTCTCCTGGGAAGCACTGGATGACCTTGGCAAGTCAGTTATCTTCTCTTCATCTGTGCCCAGGGAGACTGTTACTCAGCTCAGAGAGCAAGCAAACCAACAACCCAGCCCAACATTTGATGCATACGTAGTTTCTTCCTCACTCTCTGTGTTCCCTAGATGTTTATTAAAAATTTCTCAAATAAGTGCATGGATATACAGATCATGGAATGGTTTTTTGAAGGGTGCTCAGCCATGGCAATGTTTGCCTTCATTGATTCTGGCAACATAATTGATATGTGAAAGACAACAGGAATGTGGACTATATCTCCCCCTGGTGTTAGGGATTTAAGCAGGACCAGAGGAATTCAACCTATATGAATGCTGGCTTTTACTCTGTGGAGAGTTCCATAACCTGATGGAAGAAAATGGAGGTTCCATTGTTGTTTCAGCTCTGGTTGCCAGCGATGAGGAAAGCGATGGGAGTGTTTGCACTGGACCACTTGAGCATCACTGAACTACTGCGAGACACCAGGCAAACATGACCAATTCTCGAGGCTTCCGAGAGTAGGAAGTCTCACAGATGGAGGCAGGTCAACTGTCTGAGAATGAGGGTAGCTCTCAGGGGAACCTGGAAAGTGCTCTTGTGACTCTCTGCCCAGCCCAAGCTATTCTTTGACCTGTTCAATGGCCATAGCACCTCACCTCTGGACCCTCACACCTCTTCCCCAAGTCTCATCTATGGCCAAACTCCTGAACTCAGCTTATCGAATTCACTGGAGATCTTCGGAGTGTGTCTTCCTTACCCAGAGTCACTTTGAAGTGTCTATCATTGTAGGAAAGGAGCACTCACTCATTGCTTTTGGACAGACTCCCAGGTTGAATGACCAACCATGAAAGCAAGTGTGTGTCCTCAAAGGGGAATGACCTTTCTCCAGCAGAGCTGGCCTGACTCTGAGCTTCTCTAAAACAGCCTAGAGAACTCAGTGAGAGTGGAGAACCTTTATCACAGGCTTTTGTGGAGTGATTGACACAGGCTTGGCCATATGTGTCTGCTCTTTGTAGGGAGTCTTGTCTACTTAAAGGGACTATATTTTTTTATACCTCATACCTCACTCTCCTGTGAGCTAGCACTGGAGAAACCAACAAGAGTAAGAAGTATTAGTCAATAACTGAAAATGGTCTTTGGACACTGCAAAGCAGACACGATTCCAAGAGATGAAGCACAGCTGTCTAGCCTAGGATCTCCTCCTAGAGCCAGATCGTAGTTAAACCTTTGCCAGGCTAAGAAGCCTGAATGTTTGTTCCCAATATAAGGGAATAGAGACTAATGGAAAAATGTGTGTCTCAATAAACTAGTGCAAAATAGGAGCTACTGCCTTTCTCCTACCTTGCAGCCATCAAAATTAGATATAGGTAGGTAACAGATAGACAGACAGGTGGCAAGTAGGCAGGTATATAGATGATAGATTGATTACTAGAGACAGATGATAGGGGTGTACATGATAAGCACAGATGGTTGATAGATATGATAGGATGGATGAAAAAGATATAATTAGAGATCAGTGATATAGATAAGTAGACACAGTGTCTATAGATGATAGTACATTGATTGAAAGGTAGGTGATAGACGTAGATGATGGAGATATTAGATCGATTAATATAGGTGATCGAGCCAGATGATAGACCGATGTGGATGGTAATGGCGAAGGATAGATATACAGAAGATATGTAGATAGAGCTGGGCTCCAGCTGGGCTCCAATCATGGCTGTGTAAATGTGAACCATCTTCTTCCATATCATTTCTGGCAGTGTCTCAGCAAGGAACTGGACTCAGAACACCTCCCCAGAGTGCTGTCATCTGCAGAGTGAAGACTGCACCTCATGAAGGAGTCAGGCATCTCAGGAGATGGCTCAGGCTTGCAGGATGGCCCAGGAAAGCACCATGTCCAACCCTGTTCTCCAGAGGCTTACCCTACAGCAAATCTGTTAATCAAAACCTACAAGTGTTTAGAGCTGGAGTGATGGTTTAGTGGTTAGGAGCACTTGCTACTCTTTCAGAGGACCAGAGTTTGGTTTCCAGAACAAATATTGGCTGCTACTGATTGTCACTCCAGCTTTGGGATCTGATGACCTCTTTCGGCCTACATACACACACACACACACACACACACACACACACACACACAAAAACCTAAAGAATCAGGAGAAATACTACAAGCAAAGGAATAACCAACACCTAGCATCACTGTGTGTGGAAGGAGAGCAATCAGTACCACGTAGGGAAGAAAAGTGCCATAACCGCTCTTTTATGAGAAGTCATGTGAACTCAGATCACCAACCAGACAAGGCTGTTTAATGGAATATTGACTCCCTGGTAGAAATTCCAACTGTGTTACTAACTAGCTGAGCAATCTTCAGCACATTAGACGTTTCTGAGTCTTAGTTTCTACCACTTGGGCTAGTGATAGCTACACCTTCACCTGCCCAGGGCCATGGAGAGGACCAAACGAGGTGATACACAAGCCTGGGATGCCATTGCACTCAGGGGAAGCTCTTCAGTGGTCACCTTGTCTTTGGCTATGGGCATCAGGAGATACAGACTCAGCCCTACAAGGGGAGTGCTAGTGAAGGGCGGTTGTGGCTGGTTGGAGACTATGTAGTACTTTTCTGCAGGATGCCAAGGAGCTACCAGGCTGGGCTTTTCTTGGAGTTATTTTGTTGTGAAAATGTTCAACATGAAAAGCCAGAGAAAAAAGTTTAATAGACGCGGGTCAACCGCTTAGGCGGACATACCAGTTGTTCACATTTTACAATATTTATTTGTTGTAGAGGGTTTGTTTGTTCATATACTTAAAGTAAATTTCAAATACTATGTTTCAGTCCTGAGCATATCTTTGAAAAATGGGCACATTTTCTGCCAGAACCACAATGCCCTCATCCTACCCAACTAATTA